AATTGAATTGAACAAGTGGTTATGTGAGCTACTGCTGATTTTCGGTCTGTTCAATTTAGCTTGGCTAATCCCTATGTGTAGCTGCATGTGTGCATCACCCTTTTTTCTTTGCAAAAAAATGCATTTTCCTGTATTTTCCTGTACATTTTGAAGTAAATTGTGTTCTGCAAACGTAATTTCTAATTACATTAATGTGCCTTTTTTATAATTAGAAAATTTTACATTTACACTAATTTTTTAGCAGTATTCTATTCATTACAATTGAACCTTCACAAAAAAGTACCAGTGACAACAATAACACATGGCTGGACTATCTTTGACTTACCTCAGCAAGACAACTTTACCCTTTGAACCCACCGCTAAGTCAAGCAGTCCATCACCACTCTGGTCAAAAGCCGACTGACTGATTGACAGGCCAAAGAACTTCAGTCCTGACTGGACCTCAGAGCCAGTAATTCTCTGTGTGAATGAACATATTTTAATTAATAAAGCTGCAGGTTGTATAGATACACTTTTACATCACAGATAAGTTTAATAATCATTGTGAGTACTTTGATGTTGTGTACCTGTGAGTAAGTAGGGCTGATTCGTCCTCCTTCACTGTGGAATATGTAGATGCTGCCTTCACCACCATTCTCCAAAGGTGCTCCAACTGCCAAATCATTGAAACCATCTCCGTTTAGATCAGGCAGTACAGCAAGAGAAGAGCCGAACCTTCCTTTGACACCTGCATGTCCTCTTAGTATTAATGGATCATGAAAATTACACTCCACAAACTGAAAGCAGGAGAGTGAATATTATATGATCATTAGGGAAGTTGACAAATAAAATAATTCATTTAATTGAAGTGGATAAAACTTTGATTTACCAAACCAGTTAATGTGCAAACATAAACTCTTCCCTCTCTGTCAGGCTCCGTGTACATTGGGGCAGATATGAAGATTAGCTCAGTGATGTCATCATTATTTATGTCCATGGTACACACCTCTGCCCCGAAATATTCACCAGTCTGATACTGTGTAAGCAAAAAAATATACATTTTTATTTGAAAAAATAATTTATATATAATTTAGATGAGATGAGATGAGATGAGATGGCCTTTATTTGTCAGTTGCAGGTCTTTTGCCCACAACCGAGATGACAGACCTTGCCGACCGTACATACAATACACAAACATCACATTGGGGAGACAGGTCAGGCTAGGTAGCGAGGAAAAAAACATCAAAATGTGAAACACAAAAGGATAATACAGGAATGCACAGATATCAACACACCATACACAATAAACACAGACAAGCAACATGGGAAAGAGTTCCAGTGTGTACATCTGATCTGGGACCGCTGCAATCTTCGACTGCGCCTCCAGCTGACCCGATGTCCATATCAGAGGGGAGGTAAGCATTGGAGGTGGCGTTGGATCCGGGGTAGGGAGGGTGATGCGTCAGTGAGTGCTTGTCAGTATCAGTATATGTATGTGTGTGCGTGTCCATAATTCAGCTGAGACAGTGTCCTTCACCCCGCCAGGCTAAGTAAACAGTCTTCCAGCCAACCCAGGTGGCTTTGCATGGAATGGGAAGGAACAGACTAAACACAGTCGTTATCAGGGTGTTTTGTTCAGCTCCAGCCTTGAGCCCACAGCTGATTTTTCTTTTTACAAGGTCATTCAGATCTGTCTTGCTGTAAATTCATACCTGTGATGCCAAGGGCTCAATCGTTTGGTTTTCAAAGTTTTCTCTGTTAACAGAGACCACAACTCCTCTGTGTTTATATCTTGGAGCACCAAGAACTGTCAGAGAACCACTTTGGGCCTTAGCAATTGCCATGGAGTAACCTAGAATTTGGTAATCAAAAAAGGAAAGACAACTTATTTCTCCTTTAAAATTTTGTTCATGTGCAAATTGATCCAATTGTTTGTGTAAAAGAATTACAGCAGAGCTGTGTATATACATGATCACATGTGTATGAGTTAGACTGTTAAAGCTGTAATATTCTTACCAAGATAACTGTCAGGCTCAAAAGACACATCCTCATATGTTTTCACCTTCTGGCCTCCTGTTGTGTATTGCACGTAGCCTCCCCTCCACTGGTTTGCACCAACAATAGACATCTGAATTCCCTACAGTGTCGACAGAAAATA